CCCATCTGTGCCCCGGGCTCAGGAGCCCACTCGTTATTCTAGGTGGTCATGCAGACTGAGCAGAGACAGCTGTCTTCTCTGGGTGGCAGGGTCTCCGACACCTGGTGGCCTGGCCGCTGTAGCCAAATTTCTCACGTGAGAAATTACAGAACACAGTGTCTGTCCCCTAAGGAAAATCCAAGTTGCCTGATTTGGCGCCACCGTTGCACAAAGGGGAATTCCACGTTGGCTGTCCAAAGATCAGCCCTTCCGCTGTGGTTTGCAGTGTCTGCCGGCCTAGGTCCTCAGAAGGGCGCCCACTCCAGTTTGCATAACCCTTGCTAGATGCAGCCGAGGGGCCAGCCCCAACCGGGACTCCTCTTAAAGCTCTGACCCACCAGGTCTTTATTCTGAAGCACCTCAACCACAAGGTCAAAGTCACAGGCAGAACCCTGTCTCCGTGGGCCCTGCGCCCCCCCCCACCACTGCACGTGGTGGGTGTGATGCCATAGTCTGTGCTCTGAACCAGGCCTGTTGCCGCACAGCCCCTGAGGAACCAACGGTTCAGGGAGCCGAGGGAGGTTATTCAAGGGAATACTAGAAATTTCACGCTGGGGAAACTGTGGTACGTTCTAGATGTCCTGAAGAAGAAGAAATGAAACTCCCTTATCAGCCTTGCAGTAATAGCTGCCCATGAGCAAGGAGGGGCCAAGCCCCGAGGGGCTCTTGGTGGAGGTCCTCAGCCCACTGGTTCCGAGTGGGCACCCTCCCACTTCCCCTGCTTTCATCACTGACCTGCCCGCGACTGTCGTGCTGGCCCTGTTGACAGGCACACTGGTGGACCTGAGTCCAGCAAGCCAAGATTCCACAGGGCAGGCCCACGCGGTTCCCCATCTGTTTTCCACCCTTGGGACAGAATTGTTACAAGGCACAGGGCAATTCTACCAAGAGGGTTGTCCTTTTGCTGAGCATGAGGGTAGCCACAAGGTGATTCCTCGTAAGCTCTTGTACACTCTAGACTGCACCCTCCAAAATCTATCCACACTTTGTCTGCTAAAGTGGTGAAACGCATGAATGGAACATTCCAGAAAAATTATTAGGGCCTTTGGTCTCTACGCATGTCCCTTGTCCGTGGCATCTTAAAATAACATGTAGGTAAGCAAGATGGCAGAAAAGGCTGGTTCTGGTGACATATGGGTGCTGTGCTAGCTTTGGACAACCTGCCTCTGAACTTCTTGTCAACAGAGACCAAAAAATAATATCCCTTTCCTTTTAAAGCCCTGGTGAGTCAGGCTGTCTTTCTTTTGTAGCTGAATACTGACATTAGGGCATATTTTGGAGCATGGGAAGAAGAGAGAGGCATTTCCCCTCCCACACGTTCCTCCGATTTCCCAGTTAGTCTGCAAGGGAAAAGATTCGCTTAAATTCTATCCAATGAGCCCAGAGGAGCCAGAGCCAGTCTGCTACTCACACAGTGCGTCAGTCGCAGCCACAGGGTCTCTAGCTTCTCCCCCAGCGAATTCACGTGCTCCTTGATCTCAGGCCCACGGTTCTCAGCCTGTGGAACCACCTTCTCCAGGTAAAACTGGATCACTTCCGACAAGGTTTGGCAACTCTGGAAACCCTAAGGGCGGAAGCCAAGGCAGATGGTGACTCGGGAGGAAGGGCTATACGGCCTGAGAGGATGGCTTTGTTCCCCACGGCATCAGACATCTGCCGTGAGTCTAGACCTGAGGGGTAACTGGGCTCAGGTCATTTGCTCTCAAGGAGCCCACGGTCTAACAAGCGGCGTCTGTGTTATCTTGAGAGCCAGAGGCCAAATGTGCCCAGATGCCGCACCGTCCACCCACAGGGGTCTGCTCACTCCTTTCTTCGGCTGCTTGGGCTCTTCCCTGGGCTGGAAAGGCCAGCCCAAATCGATCATACAGACTGCTGACATTTATTTATGTCTCATCTATGTGACCCTGTGAGTTTGGGACTTCTCCCAGTGGATTGTAATGACTTTTTAGATGACTGATACCTTCACGGTCTTGAGACACAGGTGTCATCTTTGTTGTTCTTACTGTTTGGTCAGTGTATAAGCAGAGGATCTTAACTTTCCCCAAAATGTGCATACCTCGTCTCAAGTATCATCTTGACGTGTAGGTTCTATGAGATATATGGATAGGGAAGATATTGTTGTCTCCATTTGTCAATTAAGTAATAGCATCAAGGAGATTGCCTTAATGGTCTCTGATCATTCGGATTGTGGAAATTTTGAGACGAGAGAGAACAACGGTTTCAAATCAATGGAGGAAGATCAACGATTCAACAAATGACTTGAAGTAATTGGCAACACATTCCAAAACAAGGAAGGCAGAACCTAACCCTCACCCTACCTAATGGATTATAGAAGAAAGAAAGATAAAAATGGCTCTTTCCACCTCCTTTCACCTGCCATTGCATGCATATGTGTGTGTGCATGTCTGTGTAAGTGTGTCTTTAATATTTGAAATTATAAGAAGAAAGTGGAAGAGATTCAGCCTGCCTTCCTGAGTTGCTGACCCTGTTTCTCTGAGTGCTTGCTTGTGTCTAGACCTGCCCAGGTCCAGGCTCCTCCAGCCCAAGTCAGGGCTCACGGGATAGTCTCCTGTGCCCAGCCCAACACAGGAAAGAGGAAGCTATGTGCCTAGCACACTCCACGGGCCAGAGCCTGTACTCAACACCCGGTATACAGGATAATGAAACTGCGCCGGGCCTCAGAGAGCTCACGCCGACTAGCAGAGGCAGTGGTGCACACAGATGGTAGCAGCAGTTGTCGACTGAGTAGCATAGAAGGGCGCGGGGCACAGTGGCAAACTGGGTAAGCGGGGCGTCTGCACCACCTGGGTCCAGAAGCAGCCACCGGGTTTAGGTCCTCCGGCCTGACGGGCCGGCCAGGCTGAGTCTGCACCCAGAACACCCAGCTCAGAGAAAGGTCAGCCCTGCGGGCTGAAGCAGACATAACCCAGAAAACCCAGGAGCCAAGAGGTGAGGGGCAGGGCAGAAGGGGTGCAAAGCCCAGCCTGACCCCTTCTCTCTTTTTCCTAGTGGCCAAAGTCAGAACTCTTAGCTGAGACCAGTGTAAATATGGCAGGAGCAGCAATTCCTGAGTCAGTTCTACACCTGCATAATTTTTTAATTTTATTAATGCATTAGTCAATGTATAATGTGTTAATTTATGCTGTACTGCAAAGTGAATCAGTTATACATACATATATATATATATTCTTATTCATTTTCTTTTCCATTATGGTTTATCACTGGATACGGAATATAGTTTCATGCCTATTTCTAAAGCTTCTTTCTCCCTTCATGAGTCTTAGATTTCTGCCTTGATGTTCCCCAAAGGGTGGGAAGCAAGGCTGCAGCCTGCTGCTCCTGCCCCCACGAGGTACAGCTCGAGCCTGGAGCCTCTCCCTCCCTCCTGCTCCCGCCCACTCACAGCAGCCCCGGTACGACCGCCCTCCTTGTCTGGTGCAGTGAGCTGCTTTAATGGGGAAGGCTCAGAACCCAGGGCCACCAATGCTGACACAGGAAGGCAAGGAAATAAAAGAAACGCTGGAGACACTCGACGTCTGGATCCACGAGTTACCTCCCTGATCCCCTGCCCATGTGAAGCCCAAAGGCACCCCCAGCAGGCAGGAGGCAGGTACTGGGGTACCCTCAGGATGGACAGAAAACAGGCAGCGGAGGGTCAAGTGACATGCAGGGGTTGAAAGCGTGGCAGCGCCCAGGCCTCCTGGCCCTTGGATCTGAGTTCTTCACGGGAGAGCGGGGAGAAGCCCCTGCAGAAGGAGGAGTCAAGGCACAGTCTCCACTCTTTCCTTCTGGTGGTACAGCAGCATTCCTCGCTACATCTGGTTATTCTGCCCCTGCACTCACGCACGCGTGCACACACACACACACACACACACACGAACGTGCAAATACAAAGAAAGACAACTAAGGTTTCTTTGGAAGGAGAAGGGATAGGGAAGAGGGGAGAAAGAGGCCTCATGTCCAGCCTCCATAGAATCTCAACTTATTTTCCTTGTTACTTTCGCTTCTTTCTCCCTATTTTTCAAGTGTAAGTCTCCAGCCATGGCAACTCACAACCCAGAAGAAACCTAATGCCTCTTTAATCCAAAGTTTCCATTCTGCACACTGGGGCCAGTGTAGAATAGGGAATAGTTGGCAGACCTAAGTGCAGATTCTGGCTCCCTCCCTCGGCACCCATACGCAGGGTGCCTACCACCTCTGTGCCTCGGCTTATTCACTATAAAGTGGAGGTGAGGGTCACGGTGACTGGCAGGCACAGCTTCCAGTAAGCATGGACTACTACTCCTAACTCCCCCTGAGGATGGGGCTAGCAGAGGGGGTTAGAGGCATAGATCGGAGAGTCTAAATGAGCCCAGGGCCAGGGAAGAAGTCTGGAACACATCCCATGCCTCTGACTGTCCTCTGGGAAGCTGGTCAGTTTGAGGAGTAGTCTTGGAACATAAAAGAACCAGAAGGCAGCTTTGAGGACATTTAGCTCACATCTTTGCTTTCATTTGGGAAAACTGAGGCCTGGAGAGTTGAGGTAACTTCCCAACCCAGCAAGAAGAAGCCCAGAGTATCAACCCAGGTTGAGGAGGGGACCCAGTTATTTCTCAATCACATTGTATTCTGGAATGGCCAATTTGTCCACGTCACTGTGATCTAGAAACACGTGAATGGAACCCACAACTGTGGGTCCCTGCGTACAGAACAGCTGTTCACCCCAGGAAATCAACTTTTTTTTTTTTATTAAGAGAAGTTGAAAATTATTTTAAAAGGGAGAGAGAGGTAGCTTCTCCTAAAAATAGCCATATGCAGAAGTTCATTTTTCACCCTCATGTCTTTTGCTTACGAAGCAATATTTTTAAAGTTTTGAGTAAGAATGCAAAGCTGGAGAGCTCTAGGGAGGGGAGGGAGGGGCAGAGAAACCTTTGCCAGGAAATCTGTGACACTGTGGCTTTTTGTGAATGGGAGGCCTCGAACAATATAAAAGGGGGCACAGTAGGTGAAGGTCAACACAACAGGGGCTTGCTCTTGCAACACCAAACCACAGGTCCGACTCAACGAAGAAAACAGAGCTCCGCCATGCCCAGCAGCTCAGCCCTGCTTTGTTGCCTGGTCTTCCTGGCTGGGGTGGCAGCCAGCCGAGATGCGAGCGCCCTATCTGACGGCAGCTGTACCCACTTCCCAACCAGCCTGCCCAACATGCTGCGGGAGCTCCGAGCTGCCTTCGGCAGGGTGAAGACTTTCTTTGTGAGTATAAAGCCCTCCTGTCCTTCCTCCCTCCCTCCCTAGGACTGCAGGAAGAGCCATTCTGCAGGAGCTCACAAGAGCCTCCTTTCCATCCACCTCCAGCCTCAGCATCCATTCCCCCCGAAGCTGAAATTCTCAAGAGTCCCTGGTCAAACTGTGGGTTCAGTGAGTTAATTTGAGCTCTGGTGATACAGCAGATTGTGCAAGAAAATCTGTCTTTAAAAAATGTAAAGGCATTATCTCACCTATGCTAGGAAATCTGTACAGGATTCTCTGGAGCTCAGTACCTCATTGGCTGGGAGAAATCACAAAGGGTCTGATTGAAGGGGAAGATATTCCCATACCCCATGGCAGGGATACAAAAGTTGCCTCAGCTTGGAGGGCTTAAAGAACCTAAAAGACGGATGGTTGGATATAGCGTATATCGGGGGAGACCTGCCACAGAACATGCATGCCACTCCCAGAGAACGGTCAGTGCTGCAGCTGGATGTAGGCAGGGAGGAGACAGAAAAGCAAAGGGTGCTGGGGTGTTGGCAACGGGGGTCCCCGCACACTTGACACAGCTTTACGGAAAGAAGACTGGGACCCAGGCAGGCTTCTGCCTTGCCTTCAAAGTCAGCCAGATTTTTAAAAGAACTTGGTCCCCGGAGGAAGGAGACCTGGTTTAACAAAGGGCTCCAGCACTGTTGAATGTCCTGTTTCGAAAGCCCTCCTTTCTGTTTTGGAGGCAGGGCTGGGTTGATTAAAAATCAGAAAGTCTCTCCATAAAAGGATATCAGAAAGACAGTCATTCTCAGTATTGCTCCAAACCCTGTGTTCACTCTCCTTGTGTTCTTCTTGCAGCAAATGAAGGACCAACTGGACAGCTTGCTGTTGACCCAGTCTCTGCTGGATGACTTTAAGGTGAGGGCTGGGGTGAGTGTGTTTGGGGGGTGTGTGTGCCGGGAGCGTGCAGTGTGACTAAGGGAGGCTCTGCTTCTTCGCCTGCAGGGAGCTGGTTCGGCTTCCTTCACTTCAAAAAAGGAGAAGTGGGAAGACCTTAACTCAGCACATAGCCAGGCGGAGGCAGGGGGTTGGGTGTTGCCAAGGGCTCCGTTCCAGGGGGGGTGGCCACTAAAAAAGATCCCTGGGGAACAAAGCCATCCTCTCAGGCCGTATAGCCCTTCCTCCCGAGTCATCACCTGCCTTTCCTTCTGCCCTTAGGGTTACCTGGGTTGCCAAGCCTTGTCGGAAATGATCCAGTTTTACCTGGAGGAGGTGATGCCACAGGCTGAGAACCATGGGCCTGAGATCAAGGAGCACGTGAACTCGCTGGGGGAGAAGCTGAAGACCCTCCGGCTGCGGCTGAGGCGCTGTGTGAGTAGCAGACCGGCTCTGGCTCCTCTGGGCTCGTCCTGAGACCTCCTCTTCCAGCCCTGCTCTCGCCCAGAGACCCCGGGACACGGGCCCGCGGGCACCCTGCCCCTCCAGAGCCCCAGGCCTGGCTCGGCTCTCTCTGAGCCGCGGGTGGGGGTGGTTGCTGAGTGCTTACATGTGAAGATTTGCAATAGCTTTCCTGTTATTTGTGAGTCATTCGTGGGTTATTAGCCAGTCCCCGGTCTCGACGTGAAAGGGGCCCAGAGCTTCAGCCCGGGCTCCCTTGTCGCTGGGGACCGAGGCCCTGGGCCCCACGGGAGCAGGCAGAGGCGGAGGGCCCGGGAGAGGGAAAGCCCCTTCCTCTTCCTCTCGACCTTTTGAAAGCAGAGCTTCAGGTGGGGCCCGGCTGACTGTCAGGATTGTCCCGGCATTGTAGAAGGGCCAGGGGGCTCCTTGGTCCCAGGCTAGTGTCTGCGAATAATGCCCCAGGATTCCTGACCCCTCCAACCACAGTGACACCCTCCCCACCGTTTCCTCGTCTCCCTCGCCCATGTTGAGAAATCGGTTGGGCTCTATTTGCAGGACAGCGCTAGGCAAGGGGGTTGGCTGGCAGGGCTGACCCTGTGTCTCTGCTCCGTGGGGGACTTAGAAATGGTCCCTGTGGCTAGGATCAAGGAAGGGGACGGGCCAGAAGCAGGACAGGACGGAAGAAGGGCTGGCTCAGCACTCTGGGTGGCACCGGGATGTGCCCAGAAGGGAACTCCAAGCCCAAGGTGTTGAAGCAGTCTCGTTGACGGTGGGGAGGAGCTCCTGGAGACACACAGGTCGCCTGGCCCCTGCCCGTGTTGTGTCTTCTCTGCCTGGCGGGGAAGGGGGCCCGGCACAGTCTCCGCCAAGCTGCGGGGGCAGGCGTTCAAGATGAGCAGGTCTCCTCCTGCTCCCAGGTTGTCTCCCAAGCACGGAGCACCTGGGACCGGGCCCCGTGGTGCTCACACTCTCTCCTTTCCACAGCATCGCTTTCTGCCCTGCGAAAACAAGAGCAAGGCGGTGGAGCGGGTGAAGAGCGTCTTCAGTAAGGTGAGCTGGGCTGCTGGCAGGGAGGGCCTGCGGACCGTGACCTCCGTCCACTCCCAGAGGGGCGTGGGGGGGGGTGCTCAGCAGGCCCTGAACTTTGCTCGGAGGGGGTGTGGGAACCCGGCAAGTGGGGTGACCTCTTCATCCAGTGAGGGGCTGCCACCTCAGTTATATTTGTTTTCTGTGAAGTGTCTTTGGGGGTTTCTAAATGACTGCTCCCTGCCTTCGCAGGCCTGCGGGTTGGGCCAGCCAGCCAGCTGTGAACACAGTGAGCGGGGTGCTGGGGAGAGTGACAGAGGAAACAGAAAGTAGCTTATTGGGAATCCAGTCTGAAGCCACACGTGCAGGAAGCTGACACGTGAACGTGCACTTACAAACACACTCAGGGGTGCAGCCTGAACACCCCTGAACCCAGAGCAGGAAGCAGAGCTCTCCTTTCCTGGACTTGGCCCCCCCTCTCTTTCCAGCCACCAGCCACACCACACAAGGTGCCTGAGAATCCCAGCTCTCAAACCAAGTGGGCTTTCTCACTTTCAACTGTCCATGAGCTCTTCTACCCCAGTTTCCTGAAGCTGTGGGGCCTGTGTCCTCCTTGTGGGCTGGGGACAGACCCTCGGCAGGTTCCAGCATCGGGGCCATGAACCCCCCTGCAGTAGGCCAGAGCAGCAGAGCTGGGCCTGCTCACTCCACAGGCAGGGAAACATAAACAGGAGCAAGTTTACCTTTCTCTCTCTCTCTCTCTCTCTCCTTCTCTCATTGTCTTTCTTTCAAAGTGTTTCTGCTAATGTGTTTTAATCAGATTTTGAATAAGCGTCATGTGCACACATGACCTTTAAAATTGCCGGAAAGGCACTATTCAAAAAACTGCGCTTTGCAAAGTGACTGTTTCTCTTGCTGCCCATTGGGCAAGGTCCAGGCCAATGCATAACCTTTGCTGAGAGTCGGGCATCTCTCCTGATGCCCAGAGTCTGTCCATCACCCAATGCAAGCAAGCTAGCGCAGCCTCTGGGCCCAGGGCCATGACCATCCCAGCAGGGACCCAGTCACTTGCCCAGAGGGAGTTTTCACTGGACACGTCTTCTCTCCCCACACAGCTCCAAGAGAGGGGTGTCTATAAAGCCATGAGTGAGTTTGACATCTTCATCAACTACATAGAAACCTACATGACAATGAAGATGGAAAACTGAAGCATTCTAGGGAAGATCTCCAGGATGGTGACTTGACAGACTCTATGACATAAATGGAAGATCTCTGAAGTCCGATCCAGGGCTCTGGAAGAGCAGAACCAGCTCCCTGGAGACCTCTACTGTACCTCTCTCCTAGAATATTTATTACCTCTAATACCTCAGCTCCTACATCTATTTATTTACTGAGCTTCTCTGTGAACTATTTAGGAAGAAGCCGAATATTATACTTTTTTTCAATATTTATTCATTTCACCTGTGTTTAAGCTGTTTCCATAGGGTGAAATACCCTATGGTATTTTAGTGTTTAAAGATAAATTGTAAGTTATATAAAGAAATGTTCCTTGTGGAGCCAACTGTAGTTTCCATTCCAAGCCTAACCATGCTCGCCAGCTGTTGGGCTGTTTTCCCTGACCGCCCTCTAGTTTCTCTTGTCCCTGGACCCACCCGGGTCCCTGGGCTCCCCGAGTGTTATCGAGACTCTTATGCTCCTAGAAAGAGAAGCTAGGGAGCCCCTTTGACTATTAATATTCCAGTGGCTCTGAGGGATTCCCCTGACCTCTTTCCCCAACCACTTCATTCTTGAAAGCTGTGGTCAGCTTGTTATTTATAACAACCTAAAATTGGTTCTAATAGAACTCAGTTTGAACTAGAAGCAACTCAATTCCTCTGGGAATGTTACATTGTTTGTCTGTCTTCATAGCAGATTTTATTTTGGATAAATAAATGAGTCATTAAAACCACATTATGGTGTCTGTTGACTTCTGTCTGGCTAAAAATGTTCCCTCAAAGTTTCCAAGATAGAGGAGAGAAGATGAATGAATTCTGCATTCCAGGGAAAGAAAGCTGGATACCATCTCTCAGAAAAGGGAAGCCTCCAAACCTGATCAGGGAAAAGCTTCAAATGCCTTCACCCCTTCAAATGCCAAGAGTGAAGGCCACCCATGGACCACAGTCTTCCCACAGACTCAATCTTTAAAGAATCATCCTTCATGATCATGCTAACTTTCAAGGCTAAGGATGAGATTCCGTACATACCAAAATTGAAAAGCTAGGCAGAGAAATTTTTCCAGTTTTCTGGTTTGGGGGTTTTGGTGGGTTTTTGTTTGTCTTGTTTTTTGTTATTCTTTTCTGCTTCTTCAAGTTCCAAAGTTCCAGAGGTGAATATTAATTTACCCGGGTTATTGTGAGGATTAAGATAAAGGGCTACATGTCTCCGGACACTAGGGGATGGTCCTAGTGCACACGATTGGCTGTTATTAGTATTCACACCTAAAATCTTCTACCAAATTCTCCTTGAGCTGATCTCAAAGGCAATAGGCTGGACCCAGTAGGGTAGAATATAAGCAAGGCGGCCCAAGGATTCAAGCCGCTGCATTTCTGCTCTCTCCTTGAGCTGCCAGACAAACCTGAGATTGGCTTCAGACTGCGGTCTGCTGGGAGGGGCATGGTGGCTGGGGAAGCCCTGCCAAAGCCCCAAGACTCGAGGCAGAGAGGGGAAAGAAGGGCTGAGGAACCCCGACTCCCCTCACTCTCTGCCCAGGCAGTCCTGGTCTGGGGGAGGGTGGGAGCCGAGTGGCTGTGGTCAGTTTTTCAGTAAAACCTGACTCACTCCGGTTAAAGTAACCATAGGAAGGAAGTGGGAAGCATCAAAGCTGAAATTCTGAGATGAAAGGTTAGGGTTGAGAACAGAGGCTAGCATTAGAGAGAATAAAATGATGTCGTTTGCAGCAATGTGGATTGGCCTAGAGATGGTCACCCTCAGTGAAGAAAGTCAGACAGAGAGAGGGAAGCATCTCGTGACAATTCTAATATGCAGAATCTAAAAAGAAATGATACAAATGAGCGTATTTACAAAACAGAAACAGTCTCACAGACAGAGAGAATGAACTTATGGTTACAGTGGGGAAGAATGGGGGAAAGGATAGGTAGGGAGTTTGGCCTGGATGTGTACACACTGCTGGGCAACAAGGACCTCCCGTCCAGCCCAGGGAACTCTGCTTAATGTTAAGTGCCAGCCTGGATGGGAGGGGAGTCTGGGGGAGAATGGATATATGTATATGTATGGTTGAGTCACTTCGGCCACCTGAAACTATCACAACATTGTTACTCAGCTATGCGTCCATTCTAAATCACTTCAGTCGTGTCCGACTCTGTGCGACCCTATGAACTGTAGCCTGCCAGGCTCCGCTGTCCACGGGCTCCTCCAGGCAAGAATACTGGAGTGGGTTGCCCTGCCCTCCTCCAGGGGATCTTCCCCACCCAGGGATCAAACCTGCCTCTCTTAGGTCTCCTGCATTGGCAGGCAGGTTCTTTACCAGTAGCGCCATGCGGAAAGCCCTAATCAGCTATACTCCACTATAAAATAAAAAGTTAAAAAACAAAAAAGAATGGAGGCTAGCAGAAGACAATGAGAGAGGGAGGGAGGCTCTCTCTATTGAAAGGGAGAAGAAGCCAGGAGCCCCTCCACTGGGAAAGTTCAGGTGGTTGGGCTTGCTGACAGGTAATGCATTCTAACTTTGGTTTGAGGTTGACACCTCACATGAGGGAAGTGGGCATCTGAAACCAACAGAAAGAAACTCACCTAGAGAAGCCACACTGCTGCTAAGATGCTGACAAAAACTATGACTTGTTGAGCACTTCATTTGAGCCAATCCATTCTAGGCCATGCACAATATGCACCAGTTACACTTGATATTTTGTTGCTGTTTTCTATAAGAAGAAACTGATGCTCAACAATGTTGATTGGGCTCGGCCACATGAGTGATGTGGAGAATGGACCAGTGAGAACAGCAGCACGAAAAGCCTATCCTTTTGGACCAATTACCTCTCATTGCGCCCCCGCCTCCACAAGTGAAGCAGATCAGAACAATAAAAGTCTGCTATTTCACAGTATCTATAGGTCAGGAATCTTGGGACAGCACGGATCTCAAAGGCGGCAGTCAAAATGACAGCCGGGGAAGCAGTCACTGGAAGTCTTGACCGGGGCTGGACAATTACATGCCCAACAGCACACTCACAGGGCTATTGGCAAGTGGCCTCAGCGCATCACTGACCGCTTGACCTTGGCTTCCTTGAGCCGCTGCACACAGCTTCCTGAGCATCTTCACGTCATGGCAGCTGTCTGCCTGAGCCAATGATCCAAGGTGGGGGGCGGGGCAGGGCAGGTCACGGTATCCTTTTGACCTAACCTCAGAAATCGCATACCATCACTTCTGCCACATTCCATTTGTTAGAAGCACATCATTAAGGATATTCCAGGGGAGAGGAATTAGATTCCACCTTTGGAATGACAGAGCATCGGAGAATCTGTGGACATGTTTTAAAACTTCTAAGAATTTAGAAGGAATTGCTTTGAACAATCCATCAGGCATCCGGATTGTTAAGGGGAAGGAGGAGATTTGGGTAGACATCAGAGTGTGTGGACAAGTCATCATCAAGGATCCTACCCTCTTTGATCCTCTCTAATAGGTTCAATCTAACATAATTACGTCTCTGAGCCTCAGTATCTCATCTGGAAAGTGAGCAAAACTTGTTTTCCAGGTGTTGTGAACTGAATGTGTCTCCTCAAAATGTGTGTGTTAAAGCCCTAACCCCCAGTATGATGGCATTTGGAGATGGGTCCTTTGGAAGGTAATTAGAGTTAGATGAGGTCATAAGGGTGGGGACCTTGTGATGAGATTAGTGTCCTCATAAGGAAAGACAGCAGAGAGCTCATGCATGTGTGATCTCTGTGTTTTCTCCCTCCTCCAAGCACAAAGAAAGGATATGGTGTGAGAAGAGGCCTTGGGCTCAAACCTTCTTTGCCAGCACCTTAATCTTGGACGTTCAGCCTTCAGAACTGAGAAAAATAATGTCTTTTGTTGAAGACACTCAGTCTCTGGCACTTTGTCATGGCAAGCTTGAGCTGACTAACACACCAGGTGTGACATCAGAGTCAAGTGGAGTGTCGGGTATGAAGATGTCCATGTGTTTTGAATAGGAGGTGCAGAGATGAGGCCTGGGTCGGGACTTTGCTTCCTAACTTTATTCTCTAAGAGGAGCAAACCTCCTCCCCTCATCCTGTGTCCGCCGGGCCCCTCACGGCAGAGGTTGGCTGTCAGTGGAGAGCGAGACTCCGCTTGCCTGTGGTCCCAGCTGCCTGGGGGAGGAGGGGGGAACCCATGAGATCAGCTCCCCAAATCTGTGATGACAGTGTGGTTACCCATCTGAACAAAGGCAGAATCACAGAGAAAGCAAGCATGCTCTTCCACCCTGGGGGCAAGGCACAATCTGGAAGGAAGGGAATGAGGTCAAAGACAGCAGAAAGAGGAAAGAGGAGGAGCGGCCAGATGGCAGAACCGCCCACTCGATGGCCCGTTTCCCCTCGAAACACTCGGCAAGTGGATTTAACTGCTGAACATGGGAACCAGCTCTAGGCCTGAGGCGAGTTAGGGAAAAGCAGACGTAACACTACAAGGAGACAGGAGCTGGATCATAAGAACATACACCCAGAACTTAAAATGGCAGAAAGATCTTTGAACTCGCACAAATTCCAGAACCGGCTGCAGAATGAACCAGTCAACTCTGTACCTCTGAGTGGCTGGCGGGTCCCAGGTGGTGTGTGTCCCATTATTTAATACTCCCTTTAAGCACTAACTCACCTGATGACTTTACGTACCTTGTCTGGGCCTCATTTTCCTCAATAATAAAGTAAGGAACTAGGTCTGGACCAATGGTTTCTGACTGGGGCCATTCATGTGGGTTCTTTGAAGGCACTCATGGGCTGGGAGAGGACTGCCTTTGAACAATTTCCAAAATTTGAAGAAGTCTAGTAGGAATTGTACATCTGTCACCCCTACCTCCCATAAGTCTGTCCAGACTCCAAAAAATCCATGGGACGTGCTTGGCTCAAGCAACAGCCACTTTGTATGGAAAAACAGGTTACCTCTTCTGATTGAAAGCTCTCCTTGGTCGTTATGTATCACACCTTTGACAAACAATCAGAAAATGGAATGATTTCCTCAAGAAAACATTTAAGCAGTCAAAATAGTTTAAAATACAGTCTCTGAGGAAAATTAGTTCCAACAGTCCCTTGTGGTCAAGAGTTTTAAAACCTGTAAGTTCCCTTCAAGCCCACAGTTCCTAATCCCAGCATCAGATTCCTGCAGTCAGCCAGACCCACTTCCACTTAAACCCTCCTCGAGGACATGCTCCTTTGTCTACAAGGTCTGCACTGGGGACTTTCCAAACGGCTTCCCAGTGATCCGTGTGTCGTCAACAGCTCCCCTCCCCAAGCAGGACTGAACACCCACAGAGCCCTGCGCTTTCGGAAGCTCAGCACTCGGGCTGGAGAGGATATGGGAAACAGATTGCTTATTCCACAGCTCCCGGATGCCACGGGCAGGCTCTGGAATCCGCTCAGTCTTGGCTGCAAGCCACATGACCTACTTTAGTATTCTCTGTAATACAGAGAGAACAATCATTCCTGCAAGGTGCTGTTGTCATAAGCAAAAAAGGTGTGGATACATGTAAAGCACAGAGTAACTAATTAAAGCAGCTCCAGGCTTCCAGGGAGGTAAAGAATTCACCTGCCAGCGCAGCAGATGCAGGTTCATCCCCTGGGTCAGGAAGATCCCCTGGAGTAGAAAATGGCAACCTGCTCCAGTATTCTTGCCTGGAAAGTCCCACAGACAGAGCAGCTTGGCGGGCTGCAGTCCACCCAGTCACAAAGAGTCAGACGCGACTGAGCAGCTCAGCATGT